TCTACTTAAGAAGTGAAAAGGTAACGATTCACTCCGATCCTATCGTGTTTTTTTATTATATTGATGGCAGCAGTGGAAGTGGCAAGTTCAAGTAGAAGTAGAGATAGGAATCCATATACGATGAGTGAATGGAAATATATAGCAGACGGGCATGGTTCCTGGTTTGGCTTTGAGCACTCGAAAGGTGGGATGGTTTGGGTTAAAATCCAATGAATCCATGTGGCAAGTAGCCAGAAGTTGGACCCGGTCACCATTTTCACCTTCCATTGGACATTGGAACACCGTGGTGTCTCTCAACCCAAAGTGGCAGTAGTAAAGTGCACAAGGATAGATCATTCTGTGGCACGCGAAGCAGTTAGAAACTTTTATTTCCTTAGGCATTTGGAGGAGTATGTAGTTTTGGAAATTGGTGGGGTTGGGAGATTTTGATTTTGTGAGAAGGGTAGTGGCTAGATGTTTGACACTACTACCCAACCCAACGCAGAGCTAACCAACTCTACCATCGATTCCATGGAGGTAGCGCAAAACTTTGTCAGTCCTACGACGGGTTCGCTTTCACATTCACGGAGTTCATATTCCACAGCTTGGGCTTGGGGGAGGCTGAGTGGAAGGAGAAGAAATCAAGGATCGAGATCTCTAGAAAAAAACAATACACATATTTTGAAAGGTAAATACATAATTTGTACTTTTTGCCAACTCGAGCTTAGCTCGATTGGTTAAGGATCTTATCTCCAACCAAAATTATAAATATATTGTTGTTTTAAAAATAAAAATAAAGATATATACTTTTTCTACCTTTTATTTTTGTTCACATATATCTATATTATTATGTGAAGTTTATAGACATGAAGTTGCTGTGGTGTAGTGTTTATCACGTTAGTCTTACACGTTAAAGGTCCCCAGTTCGATCCTGGGCAGCAACAATAATTTTCGTTTTTTCAAAATTTTGAAAGTTTCTTTTATTTTTCCCCATTAATGTTTTGGAAAATGCCTTGAGATTGGGTTTAGTAAGAAGCGGGACCGGCAACATTGGGCTTTAAATTTGGACCTTCCTTGGGCTGGCTCAAAAGCCCAAAGGTCCACCTGGATCAATTCCATGTGGCAACCGCCTGAAGCCAAACTTTTGAAAAACCATTAAATTTTTAGTTTTGTACAAAAAAAAAAATGGAGAGGGAGGATCAAGGTTCTGCTTTACTGGCTAAAATATTTTTTTTTTCTCTAGTACAATATGTAGAGGTGGGAGATCGAACTCACAATTTCTTGGTTTGAGATACATGTCAATTACTGTTAAATTATACTTGTTTTGACACCGGCTAAAATATATTTATATCTGCAAAAGTCATTAGACATTGAGAATAACAAAGTGTACTCTAGACTTTTTTTGGAGGGACTCTTAGACTTTTACCTGATACAATAACCTTTTTTTTTTCCTTTTTACTTGAATTCATCTATGTTTTATTTATTTTTATTATTATTGTTTATCAAACTTTGCCAAAATCTGAATAGTTTTGTACGTAACAATATTAACTTTCTTTTAATAAAATATACCAAATCTAATTTAATAATCTTTTTTTTAAGTAAATTGTAAATCCCCCAGACAATTAATTTTTTTAAAAAAATATTGTGTTCGACGTATTTTTAAGATAAGTTGTGGACAAAACAATTAAAATTATACAAAACATTTGAAAAAAAACTAAAATTTAATGAGAAGATTTACTGTTGTGTAATTAAAGTTCATAAATAATGTAATTTTATACAGAACAACATTTACAATATTTAATTGTTTTTAATTAATCAAACTATTTTCTTGTCATTATAAGAACCAAATACACAACCAAATATTTGTTTGAATTGTTAGTAAGTCTAAAGCTTTCTCAATTATTTTAAATAATAATATTTACTTTAAAATTTTATTTTTCTTAAAATACTTTGTAAAATTTTAATGATTTTGGAGAGATAAATTTAGGGGGCTCACACGTATCTGAAAAAAAAAATGCATGGTAAAAATATAATATATGAACAATTTATTAAAACCATTTATAAAAAAATATTAAAATTAAATTTCTAAATAGAAAATATTTTAGAAAATATAAAAAATAATAACATCATGTTAAGTTAATTTAATTTCACACTTAAAAAGGTTATGTAAACAATAAATTTGCCCAAAAACATTCGAGAATAAAAGTGAGTCAGCATTATTGTTTTTATAATAAAAATTTAAAATAATTTGGACTATTATTTTATTAATGAATTTATAATTATTTCCATTTGATTAATTAAGGTTGATAATATACTTCAAAATGTTATCAATTAAAGTAGAGGTATAATAGTCTAGTGTAAAATATGTTCTGGTTCCTGAATTTTGAACTAAATATCTATTTATTCCGTAAAATTTTCAAAACAACATTTTTATTTTTAAAGTTTGAAAAATAACTTTAAATAGACTCTTAGTTAAGTTGAATACTTGAGGGACAAATTTGACAATATTTATTAATTTTATATAACTTTTGGCTTAGGTGGATTTTCTTCCATTTTTTTCCCCTTTTCTCTCTTCCCCTTCTTCTCTCTCTTCTGTTCTTCTTCTCTCTCCTCCCCAAATAGAAAAAAATAATCTCATCTCCAAAATCAAGCCCCTAATCCAAATGTACATTCTTGGAATGGAAAATGAAAAACACCCATCTCCATCCCCCCAAAATCGAAAACCCACCTCAAATTTTCCAAAATGTAAGACACCCATTTCCCAAATCTCATCTTCCAATCTGTTGTTATATATAAGAAAGAGAATTTGCCATGAAATTCAAAATGAACTCGCACACATACAACATATATACATTTTTTACTTTTCATAACATTTACATCATATTCAAAGATACAACATTCAGGGTAAGTGCGACGATAGATGAGCGCTTGAGGTGGCGCTCTTATTATTAATGGCAGCAGTCCGCAACATGAACTTCTAATTTTTTTTTTTAATAACACATGAAGTTCAAGTTGAAGTAGAAGTAGAGAGATGGGAATCCATAGATGATGAGTGAGTGGGAAGAGATGGCAGATGGGGATGGTCCCTGGTTTGACATTGAGCACTTGAAACGAGGGATGCTTTGGGTTCCAAGGAGAGTGTAGTTATGGATCAGATTGGTGTGAGATTTTGATTTTGTGAGAAAGGTAGTGGCCAGATGTTTGACGCTGCTACCCAAGGCATAACTACTCAAGTCTGCAGTGGAATCCATGGAGGTACTGCAAAACTTGGTCTCTCCTGCGTCGGGTTTGCGTTCACAATCACGGAGTGTAGATTCCACAGCCTGGGCTTGGAGGGAGCCTGGGAGGAAGGAGAAGAAATTGAGGATTCGAGGGAGTGATTTGAGGGAGAAAGGGATTGAATCAGCAATTTCTTTGGACAATGATAGACGAGTGGTTGTTTGATGTAAATAGAATGAGGTTTTTTTACCTAATTTTAAATTATTGATGGTGAAGAAAATCATATTTGAATGGTCCTCCATGTGATGTCAATCTCTTAAGAATCATCATGTCTCATGTCGGTGAACATGGATCTTATCAAGATAACGGTTGTGTTTTGTAGAACCATAAAGGGAACTGTCGATTGAGGTTTTGTTGAGACTCTACATCCTTCATGAAAGATTTTGTAAATGATGTAGAAGATGACGGTTGTATTTTATAGGACCATAATGGGAACGGTCGATTAAGGTTTTGTTGAGGCTCTACATCCTTGATGAAAGATTTTGTAAATGATGTAGAAGATGACAGTTGTGTTTTATAGGACCAAAGAGGCAGCGATCCATTGAAGTTTGGTTGAATCTCTATATCCTTTGATCAAAAGATTTTCACCTTGATGAAGAAATGGGTTTGAATCAGAATGGCCGATCGCTTGAAATGATAACTCATCTCCCATCGGCCATCACATTGTTCCACTGATGCTCTATCAGCTCTTTTTTGGACTCTATGCTACTCGGAAGCTGACGATTTCACATAAAAAGAAAATTTAGATGAGGCATATTATGTATTGTATAAAAAAATAAAAAGTGAGGAAGTGGAAGGGAGAGGTTTGTTAATTACCAACAGGGAGGGGTTTTGACCTTTTTTTTAAAAAAAGAAAAATACAACATAAACGACTATGGTTTATATTAAATAATAGCATTGTATTAATTAAATTATTTTGGAGTCCAGATAGAGAGATGTCGAGTTAATCTCATATTAGCCTTATTCGAATCATTTTTCAAAATATTTTATAACAAAAAAGTAAATGATAACATCTTCAACATTTATTTATATATTGTCTAACATTGAATTAAAATCCTTCAATCGATATATATATAAATCAAAATATATATATATATATATTAAAAAAACTATCATAGAATAAACAATACATAAAGAATTATCAAATGAAATAAAACTAAAACTAATATAACTATATATATTTTTAACGGTGAGTAGAAATAGTTTTACAATTAATAATAAATTCGGGTTTATTTGATTTAACTCAAATATATTTTGGGTAAACCTTTAAACCAATCTCATCTCAATCATATAATTCCATTTATTTGAATTCAACCTAACCCACTACGATTTGAGTCAAGTTTATTGATTTTTCCAGGTCATCAAATTTTTTTAACACTTATAATTAGACCCTGAAACACAGTAGTTAATGAATTATTTACTATATGGTTTTTGTAAGCGTCAAGTTGCTGTGGTGTAGTGGTTATCACGTTAGTCTTACACGCTAAAGGTCCCCAGTTCGATCCTTTGCAGCAACACTATATTTTTATTTTTTACATTTTCTGCAAATTTCCTTTTATTTTTCCTCGTGAATGTTCCACTTGGAAAATACCTTGAGATTGGGTTTAAGCGAGACCGGCACGTTGGGCTCCAGATTTGGACCAAGTTTTGGACTGGCCCAAAAGCACAAAGGCCCACCTGGATAAATTCCATGTGGCAAACCGCCTCAAGCGTCGTGTGCCAAACTTTTGAAAAACCATGAATTTGCCACAAAATTCAAAATGAACTCGTATGCATTTCAGAAAAACTGAAACAGATAGGGTAATATTTATCGTAGCAAACCTGGATTTACAAAACTGTGAAACGAATACGAGTTTGGCTTAAATAACCCTACTCTCCGTTCTAAAAAAGGGAACCAAACGCCCATTTATAAAACAAAAATCTAGATAGCAACTAACAACCATGCTTTCGGTAGAGCTCCGTTGCAGTTGGAAGGCACTGTAATCTATATATTAACCGATTGTTCAGCTGCAATTTCTGCCTCTGCCTGAGATGGCCTCCATTTACGTTCAAAAATACTTCTCTCTAAAACATTTCGAGTTTTCAGCCTCTCATCCTGAACCTTCAGCTTATCATCTATGAGTTCTAGCAACTCCCGCAAACCAACTCCAAATCTAGCTGATATTCTGACATGTGGACTGCATTGATCACCTGGAGGCTGTACAACGTTTACCATCCCCCGGCCTTCAGAGGTCTCCCAAGCCTCAGCCTCAGCCTCAGAGTAACCATTTTCATCAACCCAATGGTTTTGATCATCATCTTCTGCTAGCCAATCATCAGAGCAATCGCTGTCTTGTCCCTCCATGGTGTTTCCAAGAACTCCCTGAGAAAGCTGGCAGACATTTCCGATGGAGGATCGGCGGACTAGTCCAGTTGCTTGCTTTGTTGTAATATCGCCCTTCTCTATTTCAATGAAATTGTTGGTTTTAGAATTTGATAGCTTTGCCATTGTACTATCTTCTCCTGACAAATTGCCAGCCTCGCTATTATCTTCATCATAATATTCGTCTATACTCTTGCCTTCTTCATGATAATCAATCTGTCCAAATTATTACACGGATCATGCATTACCAAGCAAACTTCAGTACTTTTCTTCTTGTGCAGAAGTAAGAAATGTGGTAAGTAGAATTACCTTGTTCCAAACCTCAACCATATCTTGAAGCTTCGTCTTAGAAACTCCTATTTTCTCAAGTACTTGGAAAACAGTCAATCGATGCTCGTCAAGGTTGGGGGCAGTGCAATCCACCACATGCTGCAATAATCAAGGTAACAACATTGATGTCTCATACTAGTATCTATATGATAAAATATCCTGGACAGCTACTTCAGAATTGATTTTATTATCCATTAATAGGTATTAAACAAACAAATCAGTATCATATTGTGCCACCATGTTATTGTGGAAAATAATTCAACTGTAATAAGGCAAGCATGGTCCCCAGGGATCATGTAAGACATATTACGGCACAAAAACAAGGGTGAAAAAAACTGCAAGGAACAAGTGCTTTAAACTTAAATAAAAATTTCAGCCCAACATTAGTAAGGCATCACCCACTAAATTCTATGAAGAGGTAAGATAACTTTTTTTTTTTTAATAATTGGGAGTCAAAGTTTTGCCCCCATAACCCGGGACACCCCCACCTGCTGTAACTCTCTATAAGAGAGTTATTTTAGAAGAAAAATGCTTTGGGTAGAGAATTATCTGAATGAGTTTTAACTCTAATTTTAAATATTCCAGTCTTAAAACAAGTTTATCTAAAGAAAGGGTTTATTCTACGTTGTGTGCTGATGAAAAGCCTCCGATTTTGAGTGTCTCAAAATTCAACGTTGGAGCTAATTCTAGAAGTTGAGAGCTGAAAAGGAATTATTTTTTTCTTATCATTTAACACTTATTATGCCTTTGCTTCTCTTATTTAAGGGAAGGAGTTCCATTGTTGGCTTGTTCCAAATCAGAAGCTTATTTCTGGTTTGCTGTGAGGTTTTTTTTCTTGGCTTCATGGATCTTCCCCTCAAAGTTTTTAAAGAAGACCTCGTTTCTTCTCTCAAGTTCATTTCAAGCTTATCTCCTTCTCAATTGGATGATTATTTATCATCTCTTAAGTCCAAGCTTATCCAAATTCGCAAAGAAAGGGCTATTTGTATTGAAACATACTTTAGAAAGATAGAAATTCAAGTTGATCGGGAAAGAGAACTTTATTTGTATTGAAACATACTTTAGAAAGATAGAAATTCAAGTTGATCGGGAAATAGAACTCGCTGAAGGTCTCAGAAATATTTGGGCCAAACATTCTCAGAAGTTCAAAGATTTGCTCCCATAAGATAAAGATGACCTTGATGATGCTTTTGATGATCAAGATTCCCAAAGCTTTTATTTATGGTTCCTTGCTATTTGGAGGCTCTATTTAAAAGTAGCTGTTTTGGTCTTTATGTAGTTTTTCTTGTATGCTCTTTTGAGTTGTATAACCTTATTTAGAATCTAGATTTCTCTTTTCTTTTTGTTCTTTTTTCGCTCACTTAAGATTGCATCATTTGAACATTTTGTTTCATTAATCAATAAGAAGTTCGTATCCTGTTAAAAAAAAGGAAATAATTGATACAATAAGTTCAAAACAATGAAGAAACTACAAGTTAATGGAGAACAAAAGGTAAAATGATCCACATAATAAAGTATATCATTCACGTGAGACCACTGTTCAACGGAGCTGGAGATGCAAAATCCTTGCAAATAAAGAAAGGTCAAAGGAAGCAGATCATACCACTAACAAGTCTGCTTCAACAACTTCTTCTAAAGTTGCATGAAATGCTTCGACCAACTATAAAAAATTCATCGTCTTTTAGCTAGAAAGAGTTTTAGGAATAACCTGTGAAAGAGAAAGTAACACCCCATGCTTTCATAATTTCATTACCTGCACAGGCAAATCTGAAATAAATCCCACCGTATCACTTAGGAGTATTTTTCTCCTGAAAATTATTAGACAGCAAAAGGTTATAGAAAAATCTCTGAAAATTAAAGATAAGATCGAAGTCTTAATTAATAGAAGTCAACAAAAAGTGACACTTCCAACTCGTTAGAGATCATATTACCCAGAAGGAAGAAGAACGCTTCTTAATCTGGGATCAACAGTTGCAAACAATCTGCATAAATTCAGATTCCAATGATCAAATCAGATGAAAAATTCTGGCAAAGAAAAGGAAAAAAGAAAATTATCTATGCCATTGTCTAGTATTGATTGAAAAGCATGTCAAATACCGAGAATCACTATAGAGATCATTGCCTGAAAGTGCACCAACCAATGTCGACTTCCCCTATTAAATGGGTTACATAAAGATATTTAGATTTTTTTTTAATCTTTTATGAAACTCAGAAAAGAATCATAAATAATTGGATCTGAGCACCTACAGCATTAGTATACCCAACTACAGCAACAGTGGCTAAATGTTGCCCATTTGAACCTCCGTGCCTTTTTCGAGAAGCACGCTGCAAAGCACGTGTACGGCGTACCTCTTCAATTTGAGATAATAGATGATTTCTTCGTAT